TCTGTTTCCATCTTTATTCCGCTCTTGTGATGAGTCAAGTTTTAAGTGTGAGACATGTATTTTGGCCAAGAGTCATCGCACTGTGTTTCCTTTGAGTGACAGTAAAGCTGCAAAGCCTTTTGATTTAGTGCATTCTGATGATTGTACCCGACTTATTTTGGTTTTCTTGCTGAAAAATAAACATGATGTTGCTTCCATCCTTCCAGAGTTCTGTACTATAGTGTCTACTCAGTTTCATGCTCAGGTCAAAGTATTCCGGACTGATAACGGAGGCGAATATGTGAATAACACTTTGACATCTTTCTTCCGTGCTCAAGGTATTATTCACCAAACGACAACCTCATTTACTCCTCAGCAGAAAGGTGTGTCTGAACGCAAGAATCGTCAGTTACCTGAAGTTGCCCGCTCCCTTATGTTGGACACGTCTATTCCCCATCAACTTTGGGGGCATGCTGTTTTATCTGCTGCTTATTTGATTAATCGTACACCTAGCCGGGTTCTTGATTTCAAGACTCCACATGATGTGTTTGGTGACCATGTTTCCCCTGTCTCAGTCTCCAAGTTGCCCCCTAAAGTCTTTGGGTGTGTTGCCTATGTTCATGTCTACTCTCATCAACGGAGTAAACTTGATTCTTGTGCTCTACGATGTGTTTTTATTGGTTACTCGTCTACTCAGAAAGGTTATAAGTGTTATCATCCACCTACCCAGAAGGTGCATGTTACTTTGGACGTGACTTTCCATGAAGAAGTGCCCTATTATGTATCTCCCTCCTCTCCAATTCAGGGCGAGAGGGGGAATGAATTGGAGAGTCTTGAATTGGATAATGATGTGTTTGAAGATGCTGCTCTTGGGAAGGAAACGACCTGTCGCACTGAAGCAAGTGACCGGTCACCCATATATGAAGACGAAACTTGTGATCCGTGTGAAGAAACTACTAATCACCCTTTGGAACTCGATCAGTCGCCCATATCTAGAGATGAAGCAAGTGCTCTCGGTGTCACTGAAGCAAGTGACCAGTCGCCTGTATATGAAAATAATGACAGTGATTCTTGTATGGATAAGTTCGATGTAATACCCCCCTCTACCCTACCATTGCCCCAATCTACTCATGATAGTGAATCAAGTGAGGTAATTTCTAATGATCTACCTGTGTCAACTTATTAGTTACCTTCACGAACCACTCGTGGGAAACCTAAAGTACAATATTCTCCTGATATACATGCCAAGTCTAAGTATCCCATAGCCATTTTGTGTCAACTCATCATTTGTCTAAGTCATATGCATCATATTTATGTCAATTATCTAGTGTATGTGTGCCAACTAAACTGCAGGATGCTTTATCTAACCCAAAATGGATGGATGCCATGAATGTTGAAATGGATGCCTTGAACAAGAATAAAACATGGGATTTAGTTCCTTTGCCACGAGGGAAGAAAGCTGTTGGATGCAGATGAGTGTTTACTTTGAAGCATAAAGCTGATGGTTACATTGACCGTTGCAAGGCTAGATTGGTAGCAAAGGGTTATACTCAGACCTATGGAGTGGATTATTTGGAGACCTTTGCTCCAGTGGCAAAGCTCAATACTGTGCGTATACTATTGTCCTTGGCTACTAACCACGACTGGCCCTTATGTAACACCCCGACTCTATTTAATTTCCAATGCAAAAGGGTAAAACTAAATTAAATGTGAAATTACGAAATTACCCTTGGGGTAGGGTATTTCGGTCATTTTCTTGTCCGGAAGGATTTTGGGACCACAAGTGGTTTGGTTGCGTAGGTGGTTCTGAGATGAATTTGTGGACAGGCGGTAGGCTTGAATCGGAGTTATAACGAAGTTTTGGCGATCAAATTGCTTTCGGTGGCAAAACCGTAAATAATTCGAAAAGGGTATTTGTAAAACAAAATCAGATTTTTAGTTCATTTTCATTTTTTTTTTTTCTGTCTTCTCTCTCTCTCCGCGCACTCTCGGTTTCTCTCTCCCTAACCCGACTCTCTCTCTCTCTCTCTTCGATTCTCCCAGCTTAGGCCACGGCAGGGGCCGGCACCGGTTCCGTTGGCTTCGTCTTGACGTTCTGGTCAAGACCCACTAGTTTTCGTTGCCGGAAAACTTGAGAATAGTCGGCAGTATCGACTGGTTCAATCGGAGGTTTTCCGATCGTTGCGCCGCCACTCCAGCCGTCCATTTCCGGTGATTGAGGTACTCCGACCCAGCATATGCAACAGGCGGGACCTTCTAAGGGTCAAGTTGTGTGGGACTACTTGTGAGTGGACTTTTCTTTTGAAACTCAGTATGATTTCATTCATGGAAATATGGCATATAGTTTTATTATGT